TTGACTCAGAAAATCACTTCTAAAGATGCAACCTTTGTATTCACCTTGTGCAATGTAACACACACACACACACACACAGAAGAATTTTCATTGCAGCCTTGCTTGTAAAAGCAAAAGGTTAGTAATAACCTAAATGTCCTCAGTAAGGTACTAGCCAAATAAATCATAAGAAATCCACTGAATAGAATACTCTGTAGTCATTTTTTAAAATGAGGATCCTGGGGCGCCTGGGAGGTTCAGTTGGTTGGGCATCTGCCTTCGGCTCAGGTCATGATCCCAGGGTCCTGGGATCGAGCCCCGCATCCCTGCTGGGCAGGGTGTCCTGCTTGTGAGCTCTTCTCCCTCTTCCTCTGCGTCTCCCCCTGCTTGTGCACTCTCTCTCTAATAAATAAATAAAATATTAAAAAAAATAAAATGAGGATGCTCTTTATATAATAATCTGAAACAATCTCCAAAGTGCAATGCTATGGGTATAGTATGTTACTATATGAAAAAAAATGTATATAATCATGCACACTTATATATGCATAAAATATCTCTGAAGTATATAAAAAACAATTTACCATCATTTGGCCTCCAGGAAAAAAACTGAGTTTACAGAGGAAAAGAATAGGAGCAAGACTTACATTTCAAAGCCACCGTTTTGTACCTTTTAAATTTGCATTACCTATATTTTAAAAAATCTTCAGTTCTCAGTTTTAAAAGAAAAAAAACAAAATTAAGGCATTCAAAAATATAATTGTAAAGATTATGTAGCAATGTGGGAAAATTTATGTAATATTAGGTTTAGCTTAAAAGAGTATACATAATTTTATCCACATAATAATGACAAGTACATAAAATATGTCTGTTCGTGATCAAGTAGTAAAGACACACAAATGTAGGGGATGGGTTGTCAGGTGGGAGTACAAGCCTTGTTTTATTTTTAAATTTTATAGATACTATAATATGGTATGATTATATGTATGGTAAATTATAATTTGGTAAAAAGAAAAATCCGATTTAGATTGCAAAAATCCGATTTCCATAGGGCTTTCAGAGAGAGGCTTTTCCCAAGAAGTAAGGTGTATCTAGTCACGCTGCCAGAGCTGGCAAGGAGGAACAAGATACCAAACCAGTCACATCCTTACGTTTAGCACTTATTCACCAGATCCTGGACAGTCTGTTTATTTATGGGGAGAAGATTCTGCACAAACAAGAAGAGGCCTTCTGGAGGTAGGAAAGCCAGGGTGTTAAATATCCTTCTTCATATGCTTAGCTTCCTTCCTTGAGGAAGGACTCCTGTGGGAAACTGGGGGTGGGCTCTGTCCCGGCCGGAAGAAGAGCCAGGAACCCACAGCAGTGGCCTGACCTGATCCCAAGGGCCTGGCCTCTGCCAAACCCTGGCCTTCTGCTCTGCATCCTCCTGGCTCTAACGACCCACAGTCCACCTGTTCTTGGAGGCTTGGCTCTTCCAGGATGCCTGGCAATCCCAGGCTGCTGGAAGAGTGGATGACATTGTCCTGTTGTCTCATTCTGCGCCCCCAAATATTTCTCTGCCTATTGCCTCCCCCTTCCTTGGCCTGTCCCATACCTCACGTTTATCAGTCCTTTGCCCTCCTCTTCTGTCTCCAGACCTAAACCATAACTCATCACACCCATGTTCTAGATCCACACACCCACTGCCCCTTGGCCCTCTCTACTTGCATCTTCCCACAAGTGTTTCAAACTTGATTTACCTAACACTGCACTCATTCTCTTTCTCTCCAAACTTGGTCTTCACCCAGTGTTTCCCATCCCAGCAATACCTCTAGCATCCACCTGGTTGCTCAAGCCAGACACCTAAGGATTTGCCTCGACTCGACTCCAATAATCACAGATAACAGCAGCCGGCATGCAGCCCGGGAAACAGAGAAAGCTGGGCTAAAGCAAGCGAAACAGACACAACAAGAAGCCTGCCAGGGAGGAGAGAAAAGACTATCTGGGTTCCTAAAGGGCTACATGCTCTGGCTTTGCTCTTGAGCCTGGCTGCAGTCTAACCTTGAATTTTATGAGACCCCCCAGGACCTTTTCCAATAATGCCCCCACTGTCACTCCTTAATTTGTTTTTTTGCATAAGTTAGAGTGAGGTTTCTACATTTGCAAATATAAGAGTCCTATTAATATAAACATATTGCATCAGTCAGAAGAGGCTCGGTTATGCGGTGATAATGAACAACGCCCACATTTCAGTGGCTTAACTCCACCGTATGTCCAGCAGCAGCAGGGGGCCTCTGCTCATGCAGTCCCTCAGAAAGCAACCACCCGTTTTGAATGTTGGTCACTCTTCCAGAGGGAAAGAGAAACCACAAGGGCTCTGACACCAGCAATTCAGTGCTCCAGCTCAGAAGTGGCATGTCACCTCCATTCTTAACTCATTGATCAGAACAAGTTGCTTGGCCCCGACTAACGACAAGGGAGCCACACAGTACAGTCCTGCCTGAAATAGTTGGTGAACAACACTAATAACTACCATATGTTTTCTGCTATTTATTCTGTGCCAAGCCTTGAACCTAATGAAACGGAGGCTCAGGAAGGTCAGGTAACTCAGTCATTGATTCCCAGTGCAGAATGATTCCCAGTGATCCAGAAACATGGGACAGGCTGCTGATTGAGAGAATGTACTTAAGAGGGCTAACACAGTACCTGGTACTAAAAATAAGTGTTGAGTAAATGTTTCTTTCCCAGTCTCTGGAGGTATTCAAGACCAGGCTGTATGGTCACTTTATTACGGTTGCTAGAGAGGGTAACCAAGTACTGGACGGGGAGCAACACTGTGCACAGCCTTCCAACCATGAGAATCTAACTCTACTTTTCCTGGAATAATTATTTCCCTTCTTGGCAATAATACTGCAAAGTAATTATCAACTACTATCCACCCCCCATATTCCTACAACAGCACTGTTGGCTCCCTCCATGGGGGGAGGCCTAGAAGAGATATGGGTAAATAATGGGTGCACAAACCACCCATCAACTAATATTGACCAAGTGTCCATGACTTGTAAAGCATACTGTCCTGAGCTCTAAGTCAGTGTGCACAGCAGGAAAAGAGCATGAGAACGGGGCTTGTATCTGGCACCCAGGCGTGGCTTTGTGATTAATTTACTGTGTGCCTTGAGCAAGTTTCTTCCAAAGTCTTGGTTTCATCTCTGTACAATGCGGAGGCAGGAACATACCTCCAAAGTCCATTTCAGCTTGAATAACTGATAAAAACTGTGTGCAGAGTTAAACATCAAACCTTAGAGGTGGGAAGACTCACCTTTCTTCTAGAAGCCAGTGGGGCCACAGGACCCCGGAAGCTCAAAAAGGACTTTGGATACCATATTACCTAAGGCTGTACTTTGCAATATGGTAGCCACATGTGGCTACTGAATTTCTGAAGAGTGACAACTCCAAAATGAGATGTGCTACAAGTGGAAAATACACACTGGATTTCTGGATATAGCATGGAGAAAAGGAATGTAAAACATTTTTATATTAGGTTAATTAAAGTGTTATTAATGCCACCTGTTTATTTTTCCTTTTTTAAAAAAGATTTATTTATTTGAGAGAGCGAGAATGAGAGAGAGAGTACATGGGGGGGGGAGGGTCAGAGGGAGAAGCAGTCTCCTCGCTGAGCCGGGAGCCCGATGCGGGACTAGATCCCGGGACTCCGGGATCATGACCTGAGCCGAAGGCAGTCGCTTAACCAACTGAGCCACCCAGGCGCCCTATTTTTCCTTTTTTAATGTGGCTACTGGAAAAGTAAAAGTACAGTGTGGCTCACATTGTATTCCTATTGGACAGTGCTTATATAGGGGAAACTGAAGCCCAGAGAGGTAAATGACTTGCCCAAAGAGCTGGTACTGCAACCTGGGTCATCTGACTTCTCATTCAAGGATCTTTCCACCCTAACTGCTTATGGTAGCCAGTCTCCAAGATAGTCCCTAACGATCTTCACTTCCCCTCACCCAGTGCAGTCTCTTCCACACTGAGTCAGATTCATCTATTAGGAAATGATAGAAATGACTGTGTAATTTCCGAGGCTGGGTCATAATACCTTGTGGCTTCCACCTTGTCTCTTTCTGGCATCACTTGCTCCAGGGGAACAAGTAGCTCTGTGGAGTGGCCCACACGGTGAGGAACGCAGGACCCGTGAACAACCAGTACCAACGAAGCAGAGTGAACCATCTTGGAAATGGATCCTCTATGCCCAAACCTTCAGATGACAGCTGATGCAGTGGACATTTTGACTACACCTCATGAGAGATCTCAACCCAAAATCACCCAGCTGGGCTTTTCCCAAACTCTTGACCCACAGAATATATATGAGATAATGTTTATTGTTTTAAGTCATTAAGTTTTGGGGTGATCTGTTACATAGCAATGAATAGTTCATACACAGCCTTATAAATTTAGAGATCTCATTTAAGGAAAACATACTTCTACCTTTGGCATTTGTACAGTGTGAGAAATTATTCTTGTCTTTTCCTGGGCTCTGGTCTAACTCAGGTTACCTAACTAAAAATAGTTATCAGGCTTGGCAATTCAATGCAAGAAGTCAAGATCTCATCTTATTCTTTAAAGATTCCTTTCCCGGGGCGCCTGGGTGGCTCAGTTGGTTAAGCAACTGCCTTCAGCTCGGGTCATGATCCTGGAGTCCCAGGATCGAGTCCCACATCGGGCTCCCTGCTCAGCAGGGAGTCTGCTTCTCCCTCTGACCCTCTTCCCTCTTGTGCTCTCTGGCTCTTATTCTCTCTCTCAAATAAATAAATAAAATCTTTAAAAAAAAAAAAAAAAATCCCTTCCCCTTTTATTGCATAAAGCTCCCCACATATCATCCTCACCTGGGCTATCTAGAGATATGATTCCCACAAAATCAAAGGAACTGGAGCCCAGAATTGCCCAATTAAATACAGTATTTAGGAGGTAATAAATATGTGAGAACGGATTCTCTATATGAGTTTCTCTAAACTGACAAAATGGGGTGTCAATAGTAGTGCTAATGTTACATTTACATAGCATGTGTTGCTTTTCATAATGTTTTCACATCTACTGTATCTGAGGTAGGTGAGAAGATATAAATAAACCAGCAAACACATGGAAACAATGGCTAAGAGGTCATAATTTGCTCATAGTCTCATGGTGAGTGAATGACAGAGCCAAGTCTAGAATCTGGGTTTCAGTGACTCCCAAGTCAGTCTTGGTGCTTTTCAAGCAGGACCTCCCAGCTGTGATAACATGAACAGTTGGAGCTGTCCTCTGAGATCAACGTGCACTTGTAGGTCTCTTTAAAGGCCTCAAGGAAAGGTGGTATTACTTCATCCACAGTGACGTGCCTTTGGAGCTCCTCACTCAGAGAGGTGACACCTGTCCCAACCAGCCCGCAGGGGACAATGTGATCAAACCACACAAGGTCTGTAGAACAGTTCAGAGCCAGGCCATGGGATGTGATGTGCCTTCCACAGCGGACTCCTGCAAGACAAGAAAAAGGGTCTCAGAGTAGATATCCTCCCTCCCCGGGCTTCATGATCTCCCTCAGTGTGATGAAGGAACTGGACTCCATCACTCGTTTTCCAGCTGTTTCTGAGCACCCAAGGGGTTGTGCATAGATCGGGTAAGGGGGACATGGCTGGGGAGGGGTGTGTGGCTCCACAGCTCCTGCACTTATTACGGGGATTCCAGAAAATGTCTTTAACAGAGATTCTGTTATTTTTTTTTTTAAGATTTTATTTATTTATTTGACACAGAGAGAAAGAGCACAAGTAGGCAGAGCGGCAGGCAGAGGGAGAGGGAGAAGCAAGCTCTCCGCTGAGCAGGGCTTGATCCCAGGACCCTGGCATCATGACCTGAGCCGAAGGCATCCGCTTAACCGACTGAGCCACCCAGGCGCTCCGAGATTCTGTTGCTTTAAAAAAAAAAAGAAAAAGTTTGAAAATTACTAAGCTCCATCATTGTCCAGACACTGTGATTGTTAGTAACCTAGCAATTCATTTCTCAAAAATATGAATATTGGATGAGATGACCACTGAGGGCCCTCCTGAGGGCTGTGGATATAAGAGATCAGTGAGAAGGCTTAACACCTCAAACGCAGCGTGTCGTTCTGATTCAAAGCCCGCGCCAGATACACTTCCGCCCAGCCCGAGCTTGCTCTCACCTCCATTGGTCTAGCCCCGCCAAGTCCCGCCCCCCGGCCCCGCCTCGGCCCTCCGCACTAACCTATTGCGCAGACCTTGCGCTCCCCAAGCCAGACGCCAGTGTAGGGCGGGGGCCGCGCGCAAGCACCGGACAAGCCCTGGAACTCGCACAAGCGCACGGCGCACGCCTCCAGCGCCGCTACGTGCGTGCGCAGGCGCAGGCCCAGGCGTCGCAAGTCTAGGACCGGATGGCAGAGCAGCTGGCCTGGGCCGTGGAAGGTGGCCAGGCCACCGCGGCCTGTGGTGCGTACCTCGGCGCCCAAGGCCTGCAGCCGCGCCGTCTCCTCCGGCGTCAGGCCGCCGCGCAGCCCGGATGTGTACACGGGCCCCGCGGGCTCGCAGAGCAGGAGCGCGCCCGCCTCAGTGCCTGGCTCGGCCTGTAGCCGCCGCAGCCAGCGCTCCTGCAGGGCCAGCAGCTCGGTGTACGGTATCCGGCTTAGCCGCACCAGCCGTACCGCGGGCAGCCGCATAGCTTCAGCCGGGGCGTCTGCGAGGTCCGCCCCCTGCCTTGGCCTGTGGGCGTGACAGGAGGGGCGGGGACTCGGAGGCACGTCCCCAGCCCCTGCTCCAAAGTGCTGGTCGTAGGCTCTGGAGAGATTGTGAGCCTAAGACCCACTATCAGGTGTGTCTCTTCCACTCATTCATTTCAACAGCCAGTAGGCGTTTGATACAGTGGTGCACCGTGTATGGGGAAAAGAGTCTGTCCTGGGAAGCTTACAGTCTTACTGCAGACAAGCCAAGTGTTAAAGCATTAAATAAGGTTATTTCACATACGGCTAACTGCTAGGAAAAGAATATAAAATAAGGTAATGTGTGTCCTGGTGGAATTACCCGAGGAAGAGAGCGAAAAGGAGGTGAACGTGCAGAAATATGGCGGGGAGCTGTAAGAGTGATGGAAGCAGGATTCGCAGCGGGAGAAGTTAAACTGAAACAACCGCGGCAGAGGCCTCAGCCTATCTCAAAGAACGCTCTGAGCCGGGGATGACCCTTAAGAGTTATTTCAAATTAAAGAACAGGGGCCAGAAGTTTTTGTCCTATCACTGAGTGGTAGAGGCTCTGTCTATAACTCTCGGCAAGGCTGCTTCCTTCTGTGGAAGGCAATACCCAGAGAATTATGAGCCATAAACCAGCCTACTCCCAGAAGCTGGGGGAATGACGCTAGGTCCTGAGGGTGGATCTGGACCACAGTATCCATTATGTTGGATTGTCATTCAAAGAAATCTGAACTCATTCAATAAACTTTCACTGAGTACCAACTATGTGTTGTTAGGCCTATTTCTAGGGGGAGAGGATCCATAAGGCTATCCCCCCCCTGTAGTTCTAATAGCATAAAGAACCCAGTTATTATGTCCAAAATCTATCTTCCAAGCTAAAGGTAAGGATTGTTCAATTGAAAAGAAAGAAAAACAAAAATAAGAAAGCAGGAAAGTGTAGACAATAATGCAACAAATTACTGTTTACCCACCATCCAGCCTTGTCAAAATTTAGTATTTTACTATTTTTGCTTAGGTCTTTTTTAATTATAGAAACTAATTAACTTCACTCCCTTAGGTGTCTGAAAGACATTTCCTAATATAGACATCATAAAAATCTTAAGCAAATATTAGCAAGTGGAATCCAGCAATGTACAAAAGGATTAATACATCATGATGCAGTAATGTTTATCCCAGGAATGCCAGGTTGGTTTAACATTATAAAATCAAACAATATAATTTGAAAAACCACATGATTATTTTCAGTAGGTGCAAAAAAAAGCAGTTGGCAAAAATCAACACCTATCCTGACTAAAACTCCCGGCAAACTGGAGCAAACTAGGAAAAGAAGAGAAATTCCCCAGTCTGATGAAGGGTATTGTATCAATCAGGATTCAGACAAGAGAGAAACCACAAAGGTAACATCTTAATTAATTTTTTTTATTTTGAGAAAATTTTAGATTCACATGCAGTTGTGAGGAATAATAACAGAGATCTTGTGTACCCTTTACCCAGTTTTCCCTAATGGTAATGTCTTGCCAATGTCACAGTTAGGATATTGACATTAATATAGTCAGGATACAGAACATTTCCATAAGCACAAGGATCCATCATGTTCTTCTTTTTTTTTTAAGATTTTATTTATTTATTTGACAGAGAGAGAGACAGCCAAAGAGGAAACACAAGCAGGGGGAGTGGGAGAGGAAGAAGCAGGCTTCCTGCCAAGCAGGGAACCCGACGTGGGGCTCGATCCCAGGATCCTGGGATCATGACCCAAGCCGAAGGCAAATGCTTAACGACTGAGCCACCCAGGCGCCCCTCCATCATGTTCTTTTATATCTATACTGCTATTTAACTCTTGGCAAACACAAATCTGTGTTATATAAATGGAATGACACAATATGTAAACTTTTGGAATTTACTTTTTTTTCTCAGCATAATTTTCTGGAGACTCATCCAGGTTGTTGCATATAACAGTAGTTCATTTCTTTTTATTGATGTGTAGTGTTCCATGGTAGGGATGTACCACATTTTGTTTATCCATTCTCCCACTGAAAAACAGCTACGTTCTTTCCAGTTTTCAGATATCCTGAATAAAACTGCTTACAAATATTTGTGTACAGGGTTCTTCTGTGTGAACGTAAGTTTTCATTTATCTGGAATAAATGCTGACAAGTACAATTGCTAGGTCATATGGTGCTTGCATGTTTAGTTTTTTAAAAAATTGCCATCCTGCTCTCCAGAGTAGTTGTCCATTTCGTATTCCCACCAGCAATATATCTATGAGTGATCTAATTTCTCTGCATCCTTGCCAACATTTGGCATTGTCACCATTTTTTTTAGACATTCTAGTAGTAGTAGAGTCACATTTTGTTGACTTTCACTTGTATTTCCCTAATGGCTAATGATGTTGAACATTTTTCATGTGCTTATTTTCAACCTGAATATCCTCTTCAGTGAAATGTCTGTTCATGTATTTTGCCTATTTTCTAATTGTGATGTTTTAATGTTCAGTTTTTAGAATTCTTTATATATTCTCAGATACATGGTTTGTAAATAGTTCCAGCCACTCTGTGGCTCGTATTTGCATCCTTTTAACAAGGTCTTTTGAAGAGCAAATGTTTGTAATTGTGATAAAGTCCAATTTATCTGCTTTTCCTTTCATGGATCATGCTTTTGGTCTAAGAAGTCTTTGCCTAGCCCTACATTCTAAGGAGTTTCTCCTGTGTTTTCCCCTATGTTTTGAAACTTTGGTCATGATTTTTTTTAGTTTTTTTGGGGGGAGGGTTGTTTTTTGTTTTTGTTTTTGGTTTGGTTTGGTTTCATTTTTTTTTTTTTTTTTTTGCCTATGGATGTCCTATTGCTCCAGCACCTTTTGTTCAAAAGCCTGTGTTTCCTTCATTTAATTGCTTTTACATCTTTGTCAAAAACCAGTTGGGCATAAATCCCTAGCAGATACCAAGAGCATTTTTCACAGAACTAGAACAAATAATCCTATGGATTATGAATAATCCTATGAATGTATGAAACCACAAAACACTCCAAATAGCCAAAGCAATCTTGAAAAAGAAGAACAAAACTGGAGGTATCATAGTCTCAGATTTCAAGATATACTACAAAGCTGTAGTAATCAAACCAGTATGGAAATGGCACAAAAATAGACACATAGATCAATAGAACAGAATAGAAAACCCAGAAATAAACCCATGGTTATATGGACAATTAATCTATGAAAAGGAGACAAGAACATGCAATGGGAAAAAGTCTCTTCAACAAATGGTGTTGGAAAACTAGACAACTACATGCAAAAGAATGAAACTGCACCACTTTATTACACTGTACACACAAACTCAAAATATATTAAAGACCTAAATGTGAGACCTGAAACCATAAAATTACAAGAAGAAAATATAGGCAGTAATCTCTTTGACATCAGCTGTAGAAACATTTTTCTAGATATGTCTCCTGAGGCAAGAGAAACAAAAACAAAAATAAACTATTGGGACTACAGCAAAATAAAAAGATTTTGCACAGTGAAGGAGACCATCAACAAAACAAAACAAAAAACCCACTGAATGGGAGAAGATAATTGCAAATTATATATCCAATAAGGGGTAAATAGGGGCACCTGGGTGGCTCAGTCGGTTAAGCGTCTGCCTTCGGCTCAGGTCATGATCCCAGGGTCCTGGGATCGAGCCCCACATTGGGCTCCTTGCTCGGCGGGGAGCCTGCTTCGCCCTCTTCCTCTGCCTGCTGCTCCCCCTGCTTGTGCTCTCTCTTTCTCTCTCTGGCAAATAAATAAAATCTTAAAAAAAAAAAACACACAAAACAAAAAAACCTAAGCTCCAATAATCCTATAAAAAAATAAAATAAGGGGTAAATACCCAAAATATACAAAGAACTTACGCAATTCAACACGAGAAAAACACAGGTAATCCAATTAAACATGAGCAGAGAACATGAACAGACATTTTTCTAAAGACATACAGATGGCCAACAGACACATGAAAACGTGTTCAACATCACTAATTATCAGGAAACTGCAAATCAAAACCACAATGAGGTATCATCTCACACCTGTCAGAATGGCTAATATCAAAAACACAAGAAACAACAAGTGTTGATGAGGATATGGAGAAAAAGGAACCCTCTTGCACTGTTGATGGGACTGCAAACTGGTGCAGCCACTGTGGAAAATAGTATGGAGGTTCCTCAAAAACTTAAAAAAATAGAATTACCCTATGATCCAGTAATTCCACTACTGGGTATTTACCCAAAGAAAATGAAAACAGTAATTCAAAAAGATATATGCAGGTGTGCCTGGGTGGCTGAGTTGGTTAAGCCTCTGCCTTTGGCTCGGGTCATGATCCCAGAGTCCTAGGATCGAGCCCCATGTCAGACTCTCTGCTCAGCAGGAAGTCTGTTTCGCCCTCTCCCTCCACCCACTTGTGCACTCTTGCTCTCTCTGTGCACTCTCGCTCTCTCTCAAATAAAATAAAATCTGAAAAAAAAGATGCATTATTTACAATAGTCAAGATATGGAAACAATCCAAGTGTCCACTGATAGATGGACAAAGATGTATATGTATACATTGGAATATTACTCAGCTATAAAAATAAGAATGAAGTCTTGTCATTTGCAACCACATGGATGGATCTAGAGGGTATAATGCTAAGTGAAATAAGTCAGTCAGAGAAAGACAAGTATATAATTTTACTCGTATGTGGAATTTAAGAACAAAACAAATAAAAAGACAAACCAAAAAGCGGACTCTTAACTATAGAGAACAAACCGATGATTACTAGAAGGGAGGTGGGAGGGGGAATGTGTGAAACAAGTCAAGGGGACTAAGAGTACAGTTATTATGATGAGCACCGAGTAATGTATAGAATTGTTGAATCACTATATTGTACATCTGAAACTAATATAACACTGTATGTTAATTATACTGTTAAAAAATAAATAAAAAATTTAAAAGTTATTTTAATGATCATGT